TCCTGCTGATAGCTGTTTCATAGCACTACACCTATAGGTTGCCACGATAGGTTGCCCAGATCTTGCTCTCTACCTTTTTCTCTCTGTGTGTTTTACAAGTTAGATGTATAGGAAGGTTTCCTTGCCTTTGTTCTTCACTACTTTGTTTAGGTGTAGGTTCCTGATCTAAGCAAGGAATCTACTAAATCCATCATTGGTCTTTATGATTTATGCAAATCAGACTGCCGCTTGTTGTAAGCTTTGGGAATGCTGACAGCATAATTTCAATAAGATGTTTTTGTGTACATGGCATGAACACATACCAGAATATAACATGATTCCACACTGCAAAACAGTGAAATGTAGTCTCTGTCTCCTTATCCAGTTTTTTTCTGAATGTCTGGGATTTAAAAATGGGCCTTTCAGCAATTCTAGGAAGTGAGCAAGTGCTGACTCTCAGTGGAGAACACATTCCAAGCAGAAGAGCCCTCATAGAGTGTTCCCAGTGCTGTCCTTGGTATTCCTCAGTGGGGTTATGTTTAGCTTGATGAGTTCACGGGGGAATTTTCAAACCAATTTTAAAACTGGTTGAACTAAACTGATTTCAAGATAAGTCTGAATCATAAGGCTGAGGTGATTTAAGGTGACCTGACCCATTTTTACCTGACTCCTAAAACCATCTCATGGTCATCCTAAATCTAGGTCTAGACTCTATTACAAGCAATTCAGCTGAAATAGCTATCAAATATCTCGAGGTTAGGTGAGCTCTGCAAGTTTAGTATTGAACACTGAGCATGTCTACATGTGCATTTAAGTTGCATTAAATTTACTGTGCAGTAAGTTACTGCACAAAGAGGGAATAGGCTGGTGTCTACATCTGCAGCACTTGGCAGCCATGCTGAGGCCAGAGGCAGCTGCCAGCATGTGGTGGCCATCTTAAGGGCCCGTCCACACCTGCACAGCCCTTCCTAGCTCCTCCCCTGCCCAGGAGCCATGTACCCAGGACAGAGCCAGCATGTGGCAGCTCCCTCCATGCCCACTCTGCCTCCTTGTGCCACCCCTGCCCCTGGCAATCAGTAGCCTATGCTGCTGCTGGCCATGGTGCTGGCTCTGCTAACCCCACCATGCCCTGCCCCCCACCCAGGGCAGCCATGCACCCACCAGCTGGGCCCTAGGGCACTGGCTGTGGGAGGCTCTGGCTGACCCCCTCCTCCTGTGCTCCCCACTTCAGCCCACCTGCCCTGTTGCCCACACACCTCTGACCCCCTGCCCACTCCAGGACACACATGTAGGAGAAACCATACAGACTTTATTAATAGAACAACCCACCTATCTCTCTTCCCTTCCCCCTCAACAAACACAGCCCCCTGTCTTCTCACCCTCACATACACTGCCCCTCTACCACCTTCCCCACCCACCAACAATAAAAAGCCCATTCTCCAAACTTGAAAGACACTTCAGATGTTTGACCCCATCCCTGAGTCCACCTGTGAGAGGCTCAGGGGTGGGGCTGGCCAGAGTGGAGGGTCCAAAGGCAGGCACTCAGCCCCACAGCAGCAGACAGTTCCTCTGTGGGTCTGGGACCTGCAGTAAAGCCCAGGGATGTCTGCAGCCAGAAGGCATTGCAGGACCCACTGCAGGACTCCAGGATGCTTCCAGGGGCCTGCTATAGGGTGGTAGGCAGGAATGCAGGGCCAAGGTGGGGGCTAGGCATGGGGAGGGCATAGGCACAGACTCCCCTGGGCAGCCCTGGGCAGCAAGCTGCTGCTTCAGCAGCACCACATGCCACTAATCCAGGGCCACCAGCTTATTCCCATGCTCTGCATATGCCTGGAGCTGAGCCTCCTCCTGGGTAGCGTCCTGTGCAAGGTCCTCTGCCCACCATGCCCACTGGTCTGCCACCCAGCCTGGTCTGGGCAGCTCCAGCTGTGGGTGGCAGCAAGCCTGCAAAGATGGTCCTGTGGGTCCCTGTGGCCTCTCCCCTGCATCCAGATATTGGCCCTGCAGAGGCAAGATACAGAAGGCTTTTTTGAGAGTTTGCAACATTTGAGAGATTAGATGCTCTACTCTACAGCCTCAGATTGGAAGTCAGCTGCATTTGGGTGTCCAAGGACCATAGTAAGCTGGCCAGTCAGGCCTGGGCCCAGGTGGGTGCCACCCAAGCCCCTTGTCCCTGCTTGCTCCTTGGAGGCTGGCCATAGACCACCCGTCTCCCCTGCCACCTTCCCAGGGTGGGCCAGGCCAGGCTGCTAGCAGCACCTGCTACCACAGCTCCAGCACCTGTTGACCATCCCCAACCCTTGCAAGTGACTGCTCACCCAGCACCCAGGCACAGGGCATGTGGGGCTCCCAGACAATTAGGGTAAAAGGCAAGCTATCCCCCCACTCTCCCTGCTGGGGGCCTCTCCAGAGAGGTGCCCCAGGGCCAGCCCCCCACCACACTGCTACTGTGCCTTGAGCATGCTGCAGGCAGTGCATTATGGTTTGTTTGTGCAAGTGGAGTGCTACCTGGGCCACTACACTCTGCTGCTGCTGATCCTGCTGGTGCCCCGGACACATCTGAGCTCCTGGATTGGAACCCTGAGCTATGACGGCAGGCGGGGAAAGCCTGGCTTGCCCTGCAAACTCCGCTGCTACCTGGAGGGCTATCTGTTACAGTGCTACATGTTCCTGCCCCTGGCTGCCAAGGAGAAGTTTGCCACTGTGATCAATTCCTTCCTCAGTGCATGAGAGGCCTGCGTTCACTAGGGCTGTGCGAAACAGCACCATTCCATTTTGCCTTGTGTTTCAACAGTTCTAGGGAACAGTGTTTCATCTCGAATTTCATTTTGAGTCAAAACAGCTGTTCTGTTCCGTTCTGTCGAAACAGAAAGAAAGGCTGTTTTAACACTGTTTCAAGTTTTGCAGGGGACAGGGAAGCAGCCCCATTGGGCTGCCTCCCGCCCCCAGTGTGATCTAGCATGGGGGACGGGGAGGCAGCCCAGCTGGGATGCCTCTCAGCCCCAGCACAATTTAGCGTGGGGGATGGTAAGTCAGCCCAGCTGGACTGACTTCCCATCCCCAGCCTATGGTCGAAACAGGCTGGTTGACTTTCAAAACATTTTGACCAGCCTCATTTTGTTTCGAGGCTATTTCAACGGCCTTTGTTTCATTCCAATTATGCTGTTTCAACCTTGAAATTGGTTGAAACAGTGTCGGAATGAAACGGCTGGTGGAATTTTACACAGGCCTAGAGTTCACCCAGCCATAGGGCTATGGGCTGCTCAATAAAGGTGTGACCTGTGTCCCACCTCTCTGTGTGCTGTGTGAGCGAACCTGGGGCCAGGGGCATGGGTGGTGGGGGTGGAGACTGGGGTTGGGAGGGCTCACCTCTCAGTGCGGGTCTTATAATGGGTCCGGGGTCAGTGCGGCATCCAGCTCCACCCAGTGTCTGTGACCTCTGGTCGGCTGGGGGCTGGCACCCAGGCAGGGGCTCCCCCAGAGAAGAACTGGCTTCTGGTGGCCAGCAGTGGTGTTGCTGGAAACTCCTCATGGGTGGCTTTGGGGCAGGGCAGAGGTCAAGGCAGCCACTAGCCAGGGCGTCTTGGACTGCCAGTGTGTGCAGAAGCTGGGGAGGGGTGCGAAGCAGGGTGCTGAAGGGCCAAGGTACCCTCATCCAGTGATGTGTCACCGGAGATGTCAGTGTGGGCTCCCAGGTGCCAGAATACAGATCAGCTCCCACATGAAGACCATGGTTCAGGGGGCCCCACTGGACCAATGAGTGTGGCCAGTCATAGCCACCCAGTGGACTTGTAGGTCCTTGACCTTCACACAGCCCTGCTGTACTGACTGGAAGTGGCCTTACACTTGCATCCCAGCCACCAGGGCCCAATATATATGAGTGTTTGAGCATCCGCCCTGGGTGAACTGTCTCAGGACATCCTTCTTCCCCCACAGTGCCACAAGGGTGCATACCTCCTTCCAGGTCCATTTTGTGCCCCTGGAGGTCCAGATGGGCAGGGGCATGTGGATGGGGCTGTGGCTGGACACAGGGGAGGAAGAGGGTGTCATGCACCATGCTGGCTGAATGGGCCCCCACACGGTTGGCCCTGCAGCACCACCCCGACAGGGGCACAGCCAGAGAGTCACAGCCACATGGCTGAAGTGCTTCACTATAGTCCGACAAAAAGACAGAGGTGGGGAGTGAGCAACAGTGGGGAGCAGGTGCTGGTCCTGGTGGCACAGCCAGCAGGGCCAGCAGCCCTGGGGGATCGCAGGATGGGCAAAGGATGCAGCCAGATGAAGCTCTTGGAAGCACTTACCTGTGGCCAGAGAGCAACTTGGGAGGGGGACAGTTCAGGCAGACCCAGCCTGTGGGCTGCCCAGGGGGGTACATGGGGCCTGTTGGGGTGCAAGCAGGGGTGCAAACAGCTCCTACCAGCTCCCTGGAGTGTTTGTCCCAAGGCACAAAATGGCTGCAGAGCTAGAGGCTGCCAGAGAGCATCCTAGCCCAGCAGCAGGAGAGGGGGCTAGGCAGGAGCCCTGGGGATCGGCTCTGGCTGGCCCTCTAGTGGCTGGGCAGCAGGGAGAGTCCTGTGTTACTGTGCAGTAAGGTGTGTACATATGTGTTACTGTGCAATAGCTAATCAGGAATAAATTTGATACATGCATGATGCCTGCAAGTTTAGGAAATGATCCAAAAAGAATCTGTAAATTCTATGGAATTTGGATCCATAATATTGTCTGTAGCCATTGTCATTCTCTTTTGTGATCTTACCATTGGATTCTCTTTGAAGTCAAAAGAAGCTTAAACTTTTTGTTTTCAGACTGGTATCTATATGTAGGTACATGGCAGCATTAGGAGGACTTGTGTTTTA